TGAATAAACTGTTTCCAGGTTCTGAAAAATGATGCTGCACTTCACTCACATATGATGTGTATAAACCAAAAATCAGTATTGATGATACTTTAGAAGATATGCAAAGGGTTTTTTCTTTTTTCTTAAAAACTTTTCACCTATGATCTTACTTGGGCTTCACAGTAGTGCTAGAAATTAGCCTGACTCTCATTTTCAAGTCAAGAACCCTTGAACCAGACAGAGTGAAATTAATTTGTCCAAGATCACAAAGGTGACATCTAAGCTAGGACCTTTCCCACTACATCACTGGTCCCTTTTAAGTCTGGCATTTCTCACTACTTCTCACCACACACAAAAATAAACTGCAGCTGAGGTAAAGGCATAAAGCTGAAAATATACAACTCTAAGAATACCAGAAGGAAATACAGGGAAATATTTTTATAATATTGAGGTAGCATTTCACAAAAACCCTAAAACCACAGGCAGATTTGACTACATAAAACTTTAAAAATTCTGTTTAAAGAAAGAAACATTAAAGTGGTTAAAGATGATTCACGGCTCTACCCTCCCCCCGCCTCATCATCATTTTCACTGTTTTCCAAAATGGCCTTTGCTCTCCTGCAATTATTCCTTTCCGTGCAAATTTAAAAGTCACTTTAAGTTCCATGCAAAGTCCTGTTTTATTAAGAATTTAACTTAATCTAAAGCAAAAACTTTGTCTCTACAATATTAAGTCTTCCTATTCACAGACATGATAAAACTCCACCTAATCAAGCATTTGGGGAAGTTCCTGGTGGACCAGTGAGTGCTGAGGACATGGTGCTTTTAATGCCCTGGTCCAGATTCAATCCCTGGTCAGGTAACTAAGATCCCACAAGCCATGCGGCACAGTCAAAAATCATAATAATTAAGCCCTTTTTGCCTTCCACTAAAATAATCTGATTTTCTTAATGTGTAACTTGCAATTTCCTGTTAAATTTACGTCTATAAATGTAAACTTTTTTACTGTGAATGATATCATTCTACGATATTTTTATGGTTGATTATTGTTCTCATATTTTATTTATATGAGTTGTTTGTTAATCGCACATCTGGCGATGCAGCTGAACTCACTGGCTTTAGTGTTTTGTCAATTTGATTCTCTTTGTGAATAGATATATCATGTGAAAATACTTATTATAAAAATATGAAAATTGGAGTTTCCTGGCGGTCCAGTGGTTAAGAATCATCTGCCAATGCAGGGGGCAGGCTATCCCTGCTCCAGGAAGATTCCACATGCTGTGGGGCAACTAAGCCCTTACACTGCAACTATTGAAGCGCACACACCCTAGAGTCCACACTCTGAAACAAGAAGCCATTGCAATGAGAAAACCATGCACTGCAACTAAAGAAAGCCCACCTGCAGAAATGGAAGACCCAGCACAGTCAAAAATAAATAAATAATAATGACTTTTGGGTGGCCAGTAGCTCTAATAGAATATTAGTTTTGATTGTAAACATTCTTTTCTTGTAACTATTTTCATAGAAATGTTTCAAATATCTTCCCACAAAACACAACTTCCACTCTAAAAAAAAGTTCAAAGATAAATGAAAAATAAGAGAAAAATATTTTAAAAATATAAGAAAAATGAAAAGTTAGTGTAACATGGAGAAGATTTCTCCCAATCAATACAAAATAGACAAACGATCTACTTTTTCCTTAACAGGCAAGAGATGTGAACAGGCAGTTTATAAAAACAATTAAAATGATCAAAAAGCAACAAGAGATGCTCAACTTCACTATTAATGATATGCAAATTAAAATAATGAAATTATTATTTTTTACCTATCAAGTTGGCAACCGTATAAAAAATTCATAGCATCCAGTATTGCCAAGACTGCAGGAACTAGGCACTTTCACACATGGCTCTGAATGTGTACTGTTACAAACCCCTGAAACTCAATTTCACAGGACCTATTAAAATTTTAAATGCCCATTTCCTACCTATAACTCTATCTATAAAAACAAAAGGATCACTATTAAGGATGTTCATTACAGCATGGTTTATAAAACAAAAAAACTGGAACTAACCTGAATGTTCATTGAGGATGGGCCTAGACAAATTAAAATACAAATTGCTGGAATACTGAAACAATTTTTAAAATGTGAAACTAAAAAAATAAAATAAAATAAAACAATAAAATGTGAAACTACTTAGAAGATGTGTAAAACACTTTTGTCTGGGCCACTGTGGTGCTCAAAAATAAAATCTGGAGGAAAAAAAGTTTTTTGTTTTTTTTTTAAGTTTTTATGAACATAGATAAAAGCCTGGTGGTATACACAACAAACTGATAAAAGTGACTACCTTCAGGAGCATGAAGTAGCATACAGATGGCAAAATTTTTTTTTTTTGCCTTTTAATTTTTTTGTGCTGTGTGGATTTATTAAAATAAGCATGAGCTTTTTTTTTTTAAGTATTTATTGGCTAAATCAGGTGTTAGTTGCAGCAGCCCGCTAAGGAGTTGCAGCACACGGGCTTAACTGCCCAGTGGTATGTGGGATCTTAGTTCCTCCACCAAGTATAGAACTCATATCCTACCCGCTTCCCATTATAAAGCAGATTCTTAATCACCGGACCACCAGGGAAGTCCCTGAGCTATTTTTTTTTCTTAATTAAAGATTTATTTCGATAATCTCACTCAACTGTATCTGTTCTATGATGATCTTAAGACCACAAAAATTTGCTGTCAATTGGTAAAAGAAAAATGGAGTGCTCACAGAAATGAAATCCATGTACATAAAGTGGCTGGAAATTGTCTTCAATCATAAAGTTTTTTTTCTTTAGGCATCTCCCTTAATTCCCCTACACTCGCAACCTGACAGCACCTAAATAAAATGGCCATTTCCTTCCATCAAGTACATTAATGCATAGTCCACCTCTAGCAGAAAGTGAAAACGTTAGTCCCTCAGTTGCATCCAACTCTCTGCAACCTCATGGACTGTGGCCCGCCAGGCTCCTCCATCCATGGGAATTATCCAGGTAAGAATGCTGGAGCGGGTTGCCATTTCCTTCTTCAGGCGATCTTCCCAACCCAGGGATAGAACCCAGATCTCTTGCATTGCAGGCAGATATTTTTACCCTCTGAGTCACTGGGGAAGCCCATCTTTAGCAGGAAAGTTGGGAACAGAATTTAAAGAAAGGCTCAAGTTTTCCTAATGTAGCCGGGCCAACGGGCCACCCTGCATTGCCAAATCTCCAACAAGACAGCAGTTTCCTACTGAGGAGAGCCCTATGCCTTTTCGGGGAGGAAGCCAAAGTTAGATGCTAGATGGTCTAGAAATAAAGGTGTAAGCGTTATCAGGAAATAAAAAACTCAACATTCAAAAAACTAAGATCAAAAAGAGACTCAGATGTATAGAACAGACTTGTGGACTCTGGGAGAAGGCGAGGGTGGGATGTTTCAAGAGAACAGCATTGAAACATGTATATTATCTAGGGTGAAACAGATCACCAGCCCAGGTTGGGTGCATGAGACAAGTGCTCGGGCCTGGTGCACTGGGAAGACCCAGAGGGATCGGGTGGAGAGGGAGGTGGGAGGGGGGACNCATTGTTTCTTCTAGTTCCATTTGTAAAAGGATTACTCCAATACTGCAGATGTACAGTAATCACATTAAAATAAAGGTTCCATGTTGCTTGGGGAAAAAAAAAAAAAAACTAAGATCATGGCATCCAGTCCCATCACTTCATAGCCAACAGATGAGGAAACAATGGAAATAGTGACAAACTTTATTTTCTTGGGCTCCAAAATCACTGCAGATGGTGACTGCAGCCATGAAATTAAAAGATGTTTGCTCCCTGGAAGAAAAGCTATAACCAGTCTGTACAGCATATTAAAAGGCAAAGACATACTTTGCCAACAAAGATCCGTCTAGTCAAAGCTGTGGTTTTTCCAGTAGTCATGTATGGATGTAAGAGTTGAACCGAAGGCTGAGCGCTGAAGAATTGATGCTTTTGAACTGCAGTGTTGGAGAAGACTCTTGAGAATCCCTTGGACTGCAAGGGGATCCAACCAGTCAACTCTAAAGGAAATCAATCCTGAATATTCATTGCAGGGACTGATGCTGAAGCTGAAGCTCCAGCACTTTGGCCACCTGAAGCGAAGAGCCGACTCTTTAGAAAAGACCTTGATGCTGGGAAAGACTGAAGGCAGAGGGGACGACACAAGATGAAATAGTTTGACGGCATCACGGACTCAACAGACATGAGTCTGGGCAAGTTCTACGAGATAATGAAGGACAGGAAGGCTGGCGTGCTTAAGTCCATGGGGTCCCAAAGAGTCGGACACGACTGAGCGACTGAACAACAGGAGAGTCCTATGCATTTTCGGAGGTGAGAAAGCCAATATTACATACTGGACGGTCTAGAAATAAAGGCAGAAGCCGTATGAGGAAATCAAAGGCTTCGGAGTGCGCCGAACATGCCAGGGAATCCTTTCTCAGACTGGAGTTGAGTGTACTCAGCAAGAGCGTGCAAAAAACTTAACTCCCCTCCCAGCTGACAGGCGGCCCTCGGAATCTGCAGATCTGCGCCTGATGGACAGCTCGTGTAAAGATGATCCCGACAGAGCTACGTGAAAGGCCTCGTACGAACTATTCTGGCACTATTTGGGACTCCAGGCTCATAAGCGACAAGGAGAACATCTGCGAGGAAAGGAGAGTGATGACGCTTCTTCAAGGAGTCCTAACCAACTCACCTAGCAAAACCCTCAACAAACACTCGGCACACCAACATTTCAGGGCCTTCTTTCCTGCCCAGAATCAAGATGGCCACGGGGGCGCGCCCGCAACACGGCGCACGCGCCGTACCGCCGGTCCTCCCTCTTCCCGTCCTTCAGCGCGCCGCCGGCACTGCCCACTCACCAGCTGCACTCCCTCGGTGCGCCCTCAGCCTCACCCCCTTTCTGTCTGCCCCCGCCCGGAAGTGGATAGTGCTGCATTGAGGAGAGGACGGAGGGGGAGGGGAAGTGCTTCCGGGGAAACAGGCCCCGGGTTGGTGTTTGTAAACTTGCCTCGGTCCCGGCGGGGGCAGCGGCGGCCACGGGGTTGGCACGGAGTGCTGCGGCCTGGAGGAGGCGCCGCGCAGCGGGGGAGACAGCGGGAGGCCGCGCCTGGCAGGTAAGAGCACGCCCCAGGGAGCGCAGCGTTGTGGAGGCAGGCGGCAGCGCTCCAGCAACTCGCAGGCCGTGGGGCTCCGCGCGGGAAGGGGGAGGGGAGGGAAGAAGGGGCCCGGGGCGAAGGGAGGGTGGTCCAGAGGAGAGGTAGGGGCTGCGCGCACACCGCTGTGCAGTCGCGTCACCGGCCGGACTTGGGGGTTTGCTCGGAAGGGACGCGGGCGCGAGCACGCACCTTGCGCGCTCCTGGGCTCTCTTCTCCGGGTGCGTGCGGCGGGCTCAGCGGCTGGCTGGCTGGCTGGCGGCTGGCTGGCTGGCTGACTGACTGACTGGAGAGAGGGAGGGAAGATGGGAGGGAACGCGCAGCGTTAGGCTTCGCCTCCTTGTCTTCCACCTCCGCAGAGAGTTTACGTACCTTGGGGCGGTCTCGGAGAATGCACACGTGTGGGCCGGCCTGGGCTCGTACTGCCGGTCCGGTTTCTGTCTGCTGCTGAAGCGCCCAGCGTTAACCCCTGAGCTTTTCTCCACCCGACTTCTGGTCGCCTTAATAGAGTGCGAGCTTCGCGGGCCGGCCCACTGGACACAAAAGCCCCAGAGGGCCTCCGCCCCCTTCTTCCAGTCCTAAATTGGCAAATCCTAGTAATTGGCCTGCTGCAGTGCCTCCACTAGAGGCCGAAGTTACTTTTGCTCCTATCGGTGGCCTGGAGACCAGTTTCTTCTCATGACCTAGAAAGAAAACTGATGTCTTCGTTTAGAGTCGCACAGAGAGCGCCTGGCAAAAGAGTTCAGCCCACTGAAGGTTGTATGGCCTGAGGATGTTGCACCTAACAGCTCCGTTTCCCTTTCTGGTTTCAGGTTTCTGAAACAGATCGTGAATTTCATTCAGAGTATTCAGCTGGAGAACCAAGACTGGCAGACTTTTTCTTCACACAATAGGCAGGAGCCAAGCAGAGACCAGGGATTCTTGGAACATCTATCTTTACTTTGGAGGACACTAAATTCTACTTGAAGACAAAGGCACTTCAGTATGGCAGCAGGACTGAAGGGACACGAAAGAGTTGTTACAGTGATTTGGTGACAGTTCTTCAAACAACAGTGTCTTAAGGAAAGGTGGAGCAAGAAACTCGAACTTTTTGAGTTGCATTAAGTGAGAAATCAGCATGGCTCAGGTAAAAAGCTCTAGAGTCCTCCTCCTTCAAGATCACTGGGAAGCGTGTTTGCAGTTTCACTCTTGAATGCTGCCTTAGTCAACATATTGACCAACCCAGTGAGCCAAGCTCTGTATTAAACACCAGGGGGAGATCTAGAGGAAGGAAAGGAGACAGGCCACAGCCCCTGCCTTCAGGGAGCTTCCAGTCAAATGAAGGAGGTAGGCTATACTGCATCACAGGCCCTGATGGGACATTTACAAAGCAACATGTACGCAGTTTACACTTGGTACAATAACTTTTGAGGGGCATGAGGGAGTAAACAGTCTGGTGAATGCTTCGTTTGTTTTTTTTTCAACAGGAATTTTTAGAGCTCCTGTTACATGCAAGGCATTGTGCTGGGGATACAAAGATGAATAAAATTGACCCTGACCCCAGCAGGCTTCCAGGCTAGTTGGGTTGGGATTGGGGGAGATGAAGAGACAATCTGTTATTTATCTTTATATACACAACACTGTGTGGTGGCTGGCTAGTATTACAGACTCAATGAGTCTGTTGATTGAAGGAATATGCAATCATGGAGGTATGTACACCATAGAGGAGGGAATGAGCCTTCTGCCAGGATGAAAAAAGAAGTTGAAGCTGGAAGGATGTATAGGATTTCGTTAGATAAACAAGTAGAACAGGGCATTCAGACAAGGACAATGGCATGGGCAGAGACTTAGAGTCCTGGGAGGATATGGTGAGGTGGAGAGTACTGCCGGTAGTTTGCTAGTTAAGGAGGAAAGGATTGGGGTTGGGGGGCAGATGGTTAAAGACAGGAGATAGTGATAGACGGCCATGTTAGGGTGAGGGAGTTGTTTCCTGGAGAAGTAAGCTGAGTGTGACTGAAGGGCTTTTTATGCCTTGCTGAGGAATTAGACTTTATTCCATAAGGAATGGGGACTCTGAAAAGTGTTAAGCAGGAGAGTGACATAAGATCAGTGTATTTGGAAGGTAGTTGTCCTTCCAAATCCCCCTTGGAATACAAGATGGATTGAAGAGACAGGATGGCTCAACAGGTTATTGTAGTTATCTGGAAAGAAAAGCGTCTGTAGCATCCCCGGAGCTTTTGCCAGCTTCCTTCCAGGGACCCTACCTTACCAGCCTCACCAGGAAGAAATCACTGGCTTTCTTCCAGCTGTATGCATAGCTTCCTTCTTTTCCATACAGAGGAGGAGCCAGGCAGTTTCTTCTTCCTTTGTTTGCAACCCACTTCACAGCATCCTGTTCACTCTAGCTCTGAGAAGACTGCTTTTTCCTAACTGCTAACTTGGTACTGGGGTGCTGCTTTTGCATGTTAACTTAACTCATCAACCCTGTGAGGGTAGATACTGTGGTAAACATTTTGCATTTAAGGAAACTGAGGCTTAAGGAGGTGGAGTAAACTGCCTTAGATTGTACAATGCAAACAGCAGAGTTAAGTCTTGCTTCCAGACCTTTCCCTCCAAAGTCCTTGAAGATGAAAGAGGGGGTTCCTGGGATGTACTGGTCACCTGAAAGGAATTTCTTTTTAAATCACTTGTGGAAGTTTGCTGTCCAACTGTTCTTAAAAGTGTTTCTTCGGTAAGAAAAGGATATTGTCTAGTGCTGGCTAGACAAAGTCAGTTTGAAGAATGTAGCGATTTTCCTAAACATCCCTTACTTAAGTAATTTTTAAACTATGTATAGCAAGGACTGTGAAAAATATGAATATGCACACATGAATGGTGAAGATGGGGAGGAGGAAGAAAAATTGTATATTCAACTCCAAAATTCTCCCAAGTAGTTTAATTTTTATCTTTGTTATAAAATACAAAATTTTTATATTTGACAACACTTAGAGAATTTTAAATCTAAAGGGAGAAATGACCTAATTTTACTGATACATGTTTGTAGAGCTTAATAGACTATACATTTGGCACCAGTGAGATCTGCCAGCCAGAAGCGGGTTCTGTGTAGCTAAGTGTCATCAAGAGAGAAGAAAGTTCCCCTAGAAATCTCCCATGTCAGTGGGTCAACAGGATGGACTCTTGGTATTTCTAAGCCTCATGTGGCTTCAAAGTAATATATAGATACACACTTTACCCAGCACAGTGCTGATGACAAAAGTGTCAGTAGCATCTGATGATTCTCTTGGTCTGTGTCTGAATGCTGACACTTGACAAAATGAATAACTGGTCCTGGTGAGATGGGTTAGGGAGGACTCTCGAAGGAAGCAGGGCTTTGTGGTAAAGAGGGACGCTCCTTGGAGAGAAGCCGCACGTTAGTAGCTGGGTGTTTAAGGTAGCTCTTTGGAAATTGGCAGTCTGTTTTTGCCCTGCCCTGCCAGGTGACCTGACACCTCATCTCCTTTCAACTTAGGCAAGTCTCCTGGCTTGTGAAGGCCTAGCAGGTGTGAGTTTGGTTCCCACTGCAGCCAGCAAGAAGATGATGCTGAGCCAGATTGCCAGCAAGCAGGCCGAGAATGGAGAGCGGGCAGGTAGCCCTGATGTGCTGAGGTGCTCGAGTCAGGTACAGCACTTGAGTCCATTGCGGCACCTGGGGGTCGGGTGGCCCAGGCTCTCTGCCAGGAGATGCCCAGCTTTGATCCTCAGTGCTTCTGTTTAGGGAAGTGGGAAAGGGGTACAGCTGGGCCATGAGTGTGGGTATTTTAGAGGGTACAGGAAAGGAAGGTCTTTTCTGTACAACAGCTCGTTAAAACCAAGGTACTTGGAGAGGAGATGGATGCGCACTTTCTCTAAAGCTCTGGGCAGGTGATTCACAAGTTGTCTCAAAGCACCTTTTCGGCCTCCTGTCTTGTGTTCTGAGATTGACTGTGCATTTAGATTTGATTTGTATTTAAAGGGCCACCGAAAAGACAGTGATAAATCCCGGAGCCGCAAAGACGATGACAGCTTGGCTGAGGCCTCTCATTCAAAAAAGACTGTTAAAAAGGCAGGTAATGGGGAATTCCTTGGCAGTCCAATGATTAGGACTCCACGTTTTCATTGTTGAGCGCTCGGGTTCATTCCCTGGTCAGGGAACTGAGATCCCACAAGCCACGCAGAGCAGCCAAAAAAGAAGAAGAAAAAGGCAGATAATGGGGAAACCCCCAGACTGGTTCAGTTTGGGGAATAAGGTAGCTCTCCTTTCTTCCCTCTCTGGCTCAGCCCTGAGCTCTCCTCACAGCTGGTGAGTTGAGTCACCCTGGCTTCATCCAGAAACCACTTTGGCAATTGATCTCTGCCCTCTGTGAAACATCCTTGGTAAGGGGAGGGTCGGGGGAACATGAAGTCCTGTGACAGAGGGGCAGGCAGTCTCCCTCTAAGGTCAGTTCAGAGTGTGAGGTTTGACCAAGCAGACAGCTTGCTCACCCTACCTCCTTCGTCCAAGGGTCTGTTAACTCTGAGGGTTATGGGAGATGACAGCGTCAGAGAAGTTACTTTGTCCAGCAGGGCCAGGGCAGAATGGAGGCAAGAAGCGGGCAGAGGGATAGGATAGCCTCATGACGTGCCTGACTCTTGCCCCCAGGTGGTGGTAGTGGAACAAAATGGGTCTTTTCAAGTAAAGATTCCCAAAAATTTTGTTTGTGAACACTGCTTTGGAGCCTTTAGGAGCAGTTATCACCTCAAGAGGCACATCCTTATTCATACCGGTAAGTCTCTTGCTCACATTCAGAGGGGGAGCATAGTCCATAGTTTGTATTATGTTTGTGTGTAGCTCCTGTTGGGTTTATTTTAAGGAGCAAGTATTAGAAATAAGGGAAGAAAGTAAGTGAATGAGGCAGAAGAGATTGTTTGTATCTGGTGTTGCTGAGACCAGCAGCTTCGGGGACCTTTCCCCTTTAGCACATTACTAAAAGGTAAAGATTTTTGGGAAGATACCTGGAGTGAGGTCCCTGCCGTCTATACCTCCTGATGCTCCCTTCTCTCTGATTGGGCCAGGTGAGAAGCCATTTGAGTGTGACATATGTGATATGCGTTTCATCCAGAAGTACCACCTGGAGCGTCACAAGCGTGTACACAGTGGGGAAAAACCCTACCAGTGTGAACGGTGTCACCAGGTAAGCTCACGTGTCATGCAGTCACACCCACGCACAAACTTCCTTCCCCAAGAGCCAGGGCTTGCCCCCACTCCCTGCCTGACAAGGGGCCACCTCGCATTCCTGGCCGTGATGGTGTTAGTACTTGGGGGCGAGGTATATCTTTCTGGTCCCTCAGGGAGGGACCATTAGAATAATTGTAATAATAATAATAGCGTTTCTTGAGTACTTACTGTGTACCAGGCACAGTGATAGCATATATAACGTTACCTTCACATTAACTCTGTGAGGTAGCTGTGTTGCCTTCATTTCACCCATGGGGAGATTGAGATTTAGAGAGGTTGAGTTTCCCAAGGATACAGCAGATCAGGGATAGAGACGCATTGACTGGAACTTCAGAACAGGTACACTTAGGAGGAAGAGATAAAAATCCCTGCCCTGGGGGAGCGGTCAATACCTGATGTGTTGTGACTGTAAAATCCAGGACCAAAACAAGACAAGAACAAGAGATGAGAAATGATGACAATGAACACTTTCTGGACACTTGACTGGGTCTCAAGCTTTGCCCCACGCTCTCAGATTCTGTCTGCAGAACCCTAGAACGAAAGCTCTGTGGGGCAGGGCCTTTGTCCCTCCGGTTTTCCGCTCTGTCCTCAGCCCCAGGAACTGTACCTGCCTTGAGATACTGAATAAATGCTTGATAAATGAAGCAGCCGCTCTGTGAGTAGGTACCTTTAGCCCCATTTTACAGATGAGTGGACACATTCAGGGCTGAGACAGCTTGCCCAAGGTTGCATGGCTACTGTGCGCTAGGCCAAGATTGAGACTTCAGAGCTGTGTTCCTAACCACTGTGCACTCATGCTGTCTGTGTACATGCCAGGGGAATGTAGAATGGGACGTGCGCCTCTCCCATTTGGGAAAGACAACGCTAGCCAATAGGTAACCAAGTTTCTTCTCTCAGGCACTTAACCCTCCATTTCTTCTCAGTGTTTTTCTCGGACAGATCGATTACTCAGACACAAACGGATGTGCCAAGGGTGCCAGTCCAAGACTTCCGACGGGCAGTTTTCTCTCTAGGCGCAGGGGCCCCGGGTGGTGGGAGTGATCAGAAGAATCCACCGAAGAGTGCAGCCCCTCTGGTCTGATGGTCCCACCACCACCCCGTCTGTACCTGTCTCCCTCCTGGAGGAGTGGACCCAGGAGACCGGAAGAGTGCATCAGGGGACGGCAGGCCCCAGAGCTTCAGCTCTGTAAATAATCTGAGACTCTGAGTATCTCGGGGAAGTTCCTTCAGCATTCCTGGGTAGGGAAGCTAGTCCCCAGACCCTTGGCTGAGGTCGCAGGTGGGGACTCAAGGTACAGGACCAAGACTGAAGTGTGGTTCCCACAACCCTGGACTCCCGCTGGCAGCTGAAATGGAAGAGACTGGGGAGAGGGATTTGTTTGTTCTGTTCTCGTTTTTGTTTATCGAAAAGCAGTTTCAACAGGTGCACTGTGGAAATAGGTAATATGGAGGTATAGAGTCCTGGTCAAAGCAGGGATTATGGCTGGTCCAGCCCTCCCCCAAATTGAGTTTTTAGTTGCAGTTGATCCTTGATGTTCCACAGCCCTGTACCTCACCTCCTGTTTGAAGGAGAACAGGATCAGGGATGGCAGCTGTGCTTACTTTGGCCTCCTTATACACTGTAAGGACAAAAGGAAGAGCAGTGGGAGGAGCAGACAAGGGCTGGATCCAGGAAGAGTAGGCAGGTACCTCTCATTTCCTTCAGGGAAGAGCAGGAGTTGTGGCCCAGGCTATTGCAGTGGCCGGTGCCACACTGGTACCTAATGGGGTCAGCTCAAGTGCCTTTTGGAGGAAACTTGGGTGAGAGTGGCCCTTGAAGCCCCTTCCCTTTCTCTCTTTGGGTAGTTGATCTTGGAGATAGTTTTTGGCTACCTCGCTGATACTGACTGACTCCTAAGCCAGACAGAGGTGTTGAGCAGGGAGTCATGGATGTTACAGTGGGTTCTTTCTTCTTGTGCCCTCTTAGGAACCACCCAAGACTAGCCCCAAGTTGGGTGACAGCTGTTCAAGAAACAAAGGAATTTGGTGTCCCCTGACGTGACTGTTGAACAGCATGAGCTGTTCTCCTCACTCACGTCCTATCACTATATTCAGGTAGAGGAGATAAGGGTCTAGCTTTTGGTCCCAAAGGAAAAGATCTTGGCTTCCTTCTTGATGGCCATCCCTACGCAACAAAGAACTGTGGGGGTGGTGGGGGCGTGCTGTGGAGAAAACACCGAAGAAGAAACCTAATGTAGGTTTTACTCTTTAACTGTATTCTTTGCTCTTCTCTGCTCCAACACCACCACCTTATCTACACCCTCCCCAGAAGTGGTCAGGGGTGTGTGTGTGAGCATGTGTGTGGTATGTGAGTGTTCGTGTTTGTATGCTTGGAGATGGCATATTATTGAGCCAAACCCTTCTCTAGCCCCAGCTTAGGAGGACGAGCATGAAGCAGCTTCTCCTTACTGACCCTCCCCCAAAACCTGAAGGCCTGAACCTTGAGGTTTGAGAGGAGCTGAAGAACTCAGCTTGAGGGGCCTGGAGGGCTTCACTTTGGAGGGTTTTTTTAAGATTGATTCAACAGACTGCTGGTTAGGATGTTGCTTACCCAAGCCAGGGCTTGTGAATATGAATTTTCTAAAGTGAAATAAAAACCCTCTTTCTTCCTGCTAAGGAAAGGATCCTTATGGGAGGTTCCGAGGGTTTGGTTGACTCCCAGGTTGTGGGCTGTCCTGACCTATGGGGGTGTGGTGAGTAATTAGAGAAGAATCATGGAGACTTGGTGCACTTGACCAGGCTGTCAGTGGGGGGTCTGAGATGGCAGTCTGCAGGAAGTGATTTCCTTTCACAGAAAAGGTAGGCAACAGCACACTCCTGTTACCTCTTCTGAAGGAAATGGTGGGGAGCGGGGGTGGGGGGGTGTCTCCATACCTCTGAGGTGTGAGGATTTGGGGAAAAGAAAGGAAGCATGGCACCCTTTAGCTCTTCCCTGACAGCATCTGAGATCCTATGGGGAAACGCTGGGGAACGCGCCTGCAGCCTGTTCTCTCCTAGTTTTGTGTTGGCACGTTTGACATGGTCCAGAAACTAGATGGCGAGTCCTGAAACCAGCCCTTGGTCCCTGCAAGTTGGGCCTCTTTCTGCATGTGAGCCAGCCCCTGTCTGTTAGAGAGCTCCGCTGGGGGCTGGGGTTTGTCTGGGACACATTTAGAAAACTGCCCTTCCAAACGGTGCTTTTGAAAGTGGAAGACTTTGCTCCCTGCCACCTGCAACTAGGCAGTTTAGGATTGGGGGTGTGTGTGGAGAGAATCACATTAGTGAGGTGTGCCCTTGCATGTGCAAATGTGTGTTTAGGTCCGAATGTGCCCTAGCCCCCTGCAGGCCTCATCTTCCTGCTTTAGTGTGTGGGGGAGAGGGAACTTCTAAGCATATGTGCAGAGAGCCATACCAGAACCACCCCTGCCGAGGACTGGGTGAGTGGAAACTCAGGAGCAGGTGGTTAGCTTAGTTGTCCAGGTGCTGATGTTCATGAGGCTGTGGGTTTGTGAGGAGAGGGGAACCGAGAGGCAAAAGGAGTGACTGCGCCCAAGAGTCCCACTTACACCCCAGGGAGATCACAGGCCACTGCAAAGGCTCCTGGGCCCGACATTCCACCCCTCTACTGGGTGGGGTCTAGCACTGGAAAGATGCCTCAGGTGTGTCTGGAGTGAAGGGGATGGCGGTGGGGCCAGCTCTTAAGAGACCAGGACATGAGATTCGGGGACCTGGGAAAGAGTAGCGCAAATTCCTGGGTGAGCTGCTGGACTGGGCCCCACCAGCCCTGCCCTTCCCAGCACCTCAAGTCTTCTCCGTCCACCCCACCTCCAACAACCTCTTGTCATCACTTAGCTACTGATTGTGCCCCATGGCTTGACATTGGAGGGTTAAATGAGGTGTGGGGTCCCACCACAATGTTTAACCCTCTCCCCAGATGTTCTCTGCCTCTATGTGGCCCTGGGGCTTTTATCTTAATCCCTCTCACCCCACCCTTCCTCTCCACCTTTTTTTTTTTTTTAATATACTTATTTTGCTATTAGGGGAGGGAACTATCAAATGAACAAGATCACTTTTAAATGGTAGTTTTTATAAGATGTTATAAACTTGTATCTTTTTACCATTAAAGTGCAGTGTATGTTCCTTCGTGATATATTTAGGATATTTAAATAAAAACAAAATGGGGCTTTTGTACATACCATCTCCTCTTTGGGAAGAATATCCTTGGGAGAAGTTTTCTCACTGGGGCCAAAGTAGTTTTCTTTTTTCCCCACCAAATGTAACCAACCACCCCACAACTTCCAGCACCCTGTGAGCTCCCCTTTGCAGAAGAACAACAAGGAGAAGTAAAAACAGGCTGGCTGTTCTGAATAAGGAAAGAAAGTACATGTAGCAGGACAGAACGAGGCTAGACACCAGCCAAGGCAGTGTTTCTCCAAGTGTGGTCTGCAGCACTCCTTTGTCGGCTTCACAGGAGGATTCACTGGCCCACCCAGCCCAGTGCTGCTGCTTCTCCCCACACAGCCCATATCACAGCCCGTGTCATCTCGTGCACAGTTAAGTTTGAGAAACTCTCCCCCACCCTGCCCTCAGGTGGTAGGAGGAGGAATGCATGTGAGCTTTCCCAAGGCCCAGGCTCGCCTGGGGTAAAACAAACTGACAGGTGAGCTCTCAGATAGGACTTTATTGTATACATGGGTGGGATAGCCCCCACTCCTTGTGAGGTAGGGAAGCAAGGTTGCGGCAGTAGGCAGCCCTTCAGTGTCAGTGTTGCTCTGAGAATGAAGTATGGGGGCCTACTCAGCAGTGCATCAGCCCCCTGCCAAGCTGGAGGCCGATAGACCCACGCCTCAACTCCTTCCGTCCCAAAGGAGAGCTCTGCAGTGATTTTCTCTCCCCACTTCAGAGAAGGGGGCTGTCTGCCTCTTGAAAGCGGGGGTTGACAGTGGTCGTGATGGCGCTTTGGTAGAGAGGATTGTGGTCCTGCAGAAAGAAGTTGCCGGTGATGTGGAAAAGTCCGAGGACTCCCCTCTTTTATCTAAGTCTAAGAGGCCAGTTTAGAACTTGAGCAGGAACCCCAGGAACTAATGGAAATGAGCAGAGGGACCAGGGTAAGCCTGCAGAGGAGGCACAGGCCTGGGGTGGGGGTTGCGTGGCAGGAATGGGGTGGATCTGGGGATGGTGAAGCAGAAAGCAAAACCCCTGTAACCCCCCCCCAGTGGGGGAGGAGACAGCCTCATCACCTGCTTCCAGTTGAGATGCTGCCGCTCCTTTTCGAAACGATGGAATTCTCGGCGGTCATAGATCTCCACTGAGAGCCGATAAGCAAGGACCAATCCCAGTCCCACTGCCACGATGCCCCCCACACAGCCCAGCACAATTATTTGGGTGTGGTCTGCTCCCTCTATGGGGAAGAAACAATGGACTTCTGGGGGCCAGGGCCTAGAAATTGATCACCCGTCACCCACAATGTGTCCAGCCCCATCCAGCCTCCCTAGTCCTGCCTGTCATTGAAAGCAAAGGGAACTTCCACAGGATCAGGGTTATCCCAGCACTCAGGGCCTTAGCCAGGTCCACTTGATCCGGCATCTGCACACTCCTTGGTTCACAGCTCTGCTTCAGTCCCCAGCCGGATTGCCTGGCGTCTTCACCTCAAGAGTTCTGGCCCCTTACCCATTAAACTTGCAGGGCTTCATGTGGCATGTCCACAGTATCCCTATCCACTTACTCTCTGGAGGGCTCACTGTGAGCACAACTCTGCCTCCAGCTTCATCCTCTGCCAGAAAGAAAAAGAGCTGGTTGTCCTGGGTCCTCTCTTTGCACCAGCTGTCATCCAGGGTAGGGGTCAAAACCAGAGTCATGTTGGCGTGGGCACACGCTGTGCTGCAGTTCGTAGCCAGGGGACCAGTCCCAAAGGCTTTGCATTCTGCGCAGTCCCTGTCCAGTGGGTACCAGTAAGTTACCAGCTGGACAGTTGTCACCCAGATGACCCACAGAAAGAGCAGGTGGGCAGGCAGGGCCCAGTGAGCCCTGTTCCCAAGGTGCAAGGCCCGAGGGCTCACCTGTGTGTCTCACATGGTGTCTTGCAGCCTGAGCATTGATCACAGAGGGCGCCATAGTAGCCGTTGTCACACTGGCAGCGGTTGCATTTGCAGTGTCCGTGCCCACTGCAGAGCCCTCCGTCAGGACCGACACAGTTGTCTGTGTCGCCACTGCATTCACATGCTCTGCCCGTGCGGTTGGCGTGACAGTGACACACTCCACATTGGCAACGGCCAAAGCCTGAGGTAGGGCCACACATAGGGTGACAACCACACTCCCTACAGCCACTGGCACCCCATGCCATCACGGGCTGCCTAGAGCTGATCTGCTCCCGTGCATCCATTTCCCTTTTGAGGGTGTCAGACAACCTCCAACCCCTACATCCCAGCCTGATTCCTGCCCTTAGTATCAAGAAGTTCCCAGAGCCTCAGTGCCCTTGGAGGGCCACTCTGACCCCACCCTTCTCCCCAAGTCTCCAGGTACCTCCACAGAGGATGCCCTCGTGTCGCTCACAGCTGGCATCGTCACACTCGCACAGACGTCCAGAGCTCTGTCCGCTGCAGGTGCAGCGTCCACACTGGCACTGTCCCCTCCCGCTGCACAGGGGCCCTGTGCCATTGGGGGCCCGGCACCCAGACTCCAGATCCGGGGAGGACAGCTCAGCCTCTGAACACTCACAGAGTCGACCCAGGCGGCCGGGGACACAGCTGGGAGGGGGAGGGAGGAGAGGGAAAGGGGCGATCAGAGAATTTGACCATGTCTTGACCTGCCTTTCCCCAAACCCTCTAAACCTAAGATCTCAAGATAGCTGAGAGAGCAGCAGCTGAGAGGTGTATGGACTATTATGGAGTACCGAGCAGCAGAAGAGCAGGGGGAGTTCCAGCGGAGGGAAGAAGCTTCAGGAGGTGAAAATCAGGGTGGAGTCTTGGGAGGTCTACGAAAAAGAAAGCTAGAGACAGAGTCGCCGGTGGAGGGATGGAAGACAGGGTGAGAGGAGTACGGGGGAGCCCTGCGTATGAAGGGAAGTAGGCCCTCACCTGCACACCCCACACTGGAGGTGGCCCTGGCCATCACTGCAGTGAGGAGCCTGGAGCTGGGCGTCACTGCAGTTACAGCCACACAGTGTGTGCAACTCCACAGTCAGCTCCTCGGAGAAGCCACGGGCTCGGAACCTCAGCAGATGAGGCTCTGGGAGGCAGCGGGTAGCTTTGAAGGTAACCAAGAAATTCACCTGAGGACGGGACAGGCGGAAATCATACTAAGACCCTGTGTGCATACACACTCCTGTGCACATACACACACCCCAAACCCATTGGTCATCGAGAACCCTACTTAGCAAATGAAGGGACAGGGTCATGCTAACACCCATCTCCTAGAAACACATTTGAGGAAGCTGCTCATTGAAGTGTCTCAGAGACGACGGGTGGAGGGCTACCCCAGGCTTTTTACACTGTTTCCCAGGCCTGTCCCCCCATCCCCTCCTGCCTGCTCAATTTCCCCCTCCCACCCCCACACCCTTCCTTCTCACCATCTGGTTGAATCGGACGTCGTTGCACTGGCCCCGGTCGCCAGCTTCACCCTGTCTCTTCTCAGAATCCCCACACTGAGATTTGTAAGAGATGTGGACCCCCGGAGGGAGAAGAGAGTGTTCGTGTTCAAGGGTCACAGTGGATGACAGGCTCTGGGGAAAGAGCGAGAGACAGTGACCATGTGAAGGCCAGTTACACCTCACGCCTTCTTCAGCTGTTCCACATCCTGCTGGAACCCCACCCTCAGCCCACCTGGGGGCTTCTTCCGTTCTGCCCAGTCAGGAGGAGCTTCTGCAGGAAGGACCTGGGATAGCCTTGAGCGAGAACACAGGGTCCAGAGGTCTCTAACATGGCATTTCATTGCCGCTGCAGCAAAGACCTGGTGGGGCTCAGGCTAGCCAGCGCTGTAAACATGCAGTAGCTGTGTTTTTCAAACCTCATGTCTGGACATGTAATCTGTGAGCACCCAAGGTCTCAAGAGCAGATTCTTTCAGTTAAGTTTGTCCTCGGAAATTTGATATTGTCTCACATTTTCTCACCATGGGTTTAGAACACAGTCTCTCTTATCAAGAAGCCTACAGTCAAGTTGCAGAGATAAGACCTAAGCCCAAGAAACATGAATGTTTATGGTCTACCTGTAAAATTCTATGGTTCTTGTGAAGAATATCTCTGAATTATTGCTAAACTTATAGTGAAGGCAATCTCCAGATATCACATTCTTTATGTATAGACTGGCCAGGGGACAAGTGCCAGCCCTTGCGTCTGTTATCTGTGTGACCTTGGGCAAGTCACTTAGCCTCCTCCCTGCGTCTGTATCCCCATGGATAAAACTAGAATAATAATTTCCAAGCAGGGTGGGGTTTTAGTGGAGTAAATGAGACAGCAAACAGTGTGTACTTGGGAAGGTGCTTGGCATGAAATAAAAATCAATATTAATTCCCTTTCTTGCCCAGAGCAGTGCTTCATGCCCTGCACAAATCAGGCACTTGAGATTTACAAATGAGTGCAAGACTGAGTGAATGAGCTGTTACACACACACAGACCGTAGGCAGGAGCTGTGGGATGCGATACCAACAGGTGATTGTCCTCTTAGTTCTGTAATCCTACTTGGGGGTCCCTTTCCACTTTCCCCAGTGCCCCCCCCCAGCCCCTCACATTATAAGCATCCATGATGAGCTGCACCACATTGCTGGAGTCCTCACTCAGCTCCCCCACTGCAGACTTGGGAATCAGCTTACTCAGCTCCTGCAATGGGGGGAGTTGAGGGAAATGGTGGGTCACAACTCTCAGGAAAGAAGCTTGTGGGGGGGGGGAGTCTGGAAGGAGGGCATATCGGGAGAGGAAGATGGGCCTTTGAGGGAGCTGAGAAAGGCTGGGCATGGGAGGGTTTGGCATTCACACAGCTCTCACCCGGTAGACAGGCAGTGTGGCGCTGGTGACAGCAAAGATGGGCTGGATGTTTGCCGCAGAGAGGGCCTGGGCTACCTGACCCACGGAGGGATAGTCCTGGAGCAAGGAGTGGAGACAAGGTGAGTACCCCAGGCCCCCCTCACAGAATGCAAGGTGCCCAGCAAATCCAGGGTTCCACCAGCTAGGAGGGGAGGGGCTGGGGAGTGGAGTGAC